TCACTCTCTCCACCGGATTTGACTGTGGGTTATAAGGCGAAGTTTTTCTCGTGTTGATTCCACGCTCCGTGGCAAAATTCCGCCACCTCGCCGTTATAAATTGGCCTCCGTTGTCAGTCAAAATCTCTTCCGGAACTCCCACTTCTCTGAAAAATCTCGATTCTAATGTCTCGACTATGGTGTCAAACTTTTGGTCTTTGATTGGATAGAATTTCGTAAGTTTCGAAAACTGATCCATCAGTACTAATATATATTTGAATCCTTGTCGCGTCCTTGGTAACGGACCGAACAAGTCTAAAGAAACCGTTTTCATTGGTTCTTCAGGCAAGTCGTAGTATTGTCTACCTACTGTGGGTCTTGTGTAGTATTTAGTCATCTGACATATTTTACACGACGCTACAACGTCTCTCGCTATTCTTGCTACTCTAAATGTGTGAAAATACTTTTGCGTAAACGCTATTACTTTATCCGTCCCGAAATGTATCAGTAAACGGTGAATTTTTGCAATTAATCCCCATGTGTGTTTGGGTGGGACTGCTACACGGTCAGTATCGTCGCATCGTACTCGGATCAAACCGTCTCTTCGGTAGACCTCTTCCGGTTGCTCCTGTACCGCTATTTGTAGTTCTTCGTCCTGTGCTTGGATCCTTTGTAACCATGGTATCCATTCTTCTGTGTTTGCTCCATCATAATGATCTCTGATCAGCGCTATGCGCTTTACGTCGTCTTCATCCGGATCTTCGTCCTCATTGGATCTCGATAGAGTATCCGCAATCTCGTTCTCCTTACCAGGAATATGTATTATCTCGAGGTCAAATTCTTGCATGAATTCGAACCATCTCGCTATGCGATGATTGTTTTGAACGCACGTACTCAAAAATTGTAGAGCTTTGTGGTCTGTGTGAACTCTCACGTGTCTTCCCATTAATAACGTGTGCCATTTTCTCAAGGCAAATACCAATGCTAAGCATTCTAATTCAGTAATGGTGTAACGCATTTCGGCGCCTTTCAAACTCCTGCTCAAATATGCGATCGTGTATTTCGCTTCTTCTCCCTCACGGTATTGGTATAATCTCGCACCCAATCCGCTTCTCGCTGCATCTACGTTAATTCCGAACTTCATATCGGGTCGTATCAGAAACAGGCTAGGAGCTTCTTGAAATGCCCTTTTGATTTCATTGAACGCCACTTGATGCTCGCGCTCCCAGGCAAACTTTACTCCCTT